TTTAACTAAACAAGTAATAAAAGTAAAGGGTTTTTTCTCTAGTTTTACAAGACTAGAAACTTAAACATAGCACTTAAACAATTAACTAACTAAACAATTAAAGCAAATGACAAATTCACCAAATTTATTAAAGGGTTTCTATTTATGTTCAACTAATTCACTCCTATGGTTATTTAAATGATAAATTAATTATTATTGGTTACCAACTATAGTGGTTAGGTTCATGTTCATTACTCCTTACACTTAGACAATTAATCAATTCAAGCAGTGGCCAATTGTTTAAACTAGTTAATTCCCTAGTTCAATTGTTTGGATTAAATAAGATTTGTAATTGGTTAATCAAGTTGGTGTTTCGATTAACTTCTTGTTTGTTGGTTTCTCAAACAAACTCACATATTAATTTACCCATTCTCTAATTAATCTTAATTTCATATTCATTACTCTTAAGCATATGATAAAGTGTTCACATAACATATGAGGTTAATAATTAAGAGATGTTCATGCAGCTTAATTACCTTCCTATTAACAGAAAATAGTTGTTATTAATGCATAAGGTTCTTTAACAAACTTAATTTAATAAGATCACCAAATAATAATCAATCAAAAAGTATATTCTAAACCATAGGAGTAAATTAGTCTTCCCCAACAGAAACAAAACGAATTTAGTTCATAGTCATAATAAAAACAAACTCAAAAGCAGATTTAACTAAGCTAAACATACTTAATTCCTAAAGCTAAGTGGAATGATTAACCTAATTGCCTTGATTCTTCAAAGGATTGAAGGTTAGGGTTCCTTAGCTCCTCCAAGGGTTTTTTCACAGGTTTAGCTCTCAAAATTGCAAAAAAGTCTTTCCCAATCGGATAATGGTTTGGTATTTATAATTATTACAAAACAGGGTGTACTTGGGGAGTAGAAGACCCAACTCGCCGAGTAGATGCTAGTTATCCGTCTTATACCAGGAGTCTTGACTTATCTTCTGGAATATTCTAATGTACTCGTCGAGTAGGCTCGAGAACTCGCTGAGTAAGAAGGCTTTTGTCCCTCATTCTTCATTCTTTGGTCTCTAATTGCTTCCCCTTGTTCCTTTTCACTCCCAAGCATGTCTTTTGGACAGAAAACAAAATTTAAACATTATTAAGTACCTTTTGTCCACATTATACACATAATTAGTTAAAAATGAATAAAAATGTATGCTAAATAGTTAACTAATTATGCACATATCAGGGGTCTTCCATGCAAGTATCACAGAGACAACTAGCATACTACATAACACGTAATAGGCCGGCATTGGTGCCTTCGACCCATGGATATAGTGAGAATACTCACCTTGCACTGCTGAATCAAACAGAAAATTCATGGTTGCTGGCTGACAGATCCTCGAACTAACAAATTCAAAACAACACCCAATCAACAATTGGGTTCCAATCCATAACCATAAATCCATTACTAGGGTAAATCACAAATTTACCTGTCGCCTACTTTTGGACCAAGACTTAGGCCTAAACCTAATAGTTCACAAGGCCCAAATACCAAAAATTATCCATGGCTTAATTTCCAAATTGGACCCAAATCCATAGTGAGACTCCACAAATAGATATCAACCCAAAACCTAATGGCCCAATAGGGCCCAAAACAACAGAGCCCAAAAATATGGCCCAAACTGAAGCCCAAAAACCGAAATCCCACTCTGTTGAGTACACGGGGTGTACTCAACTTGTACGTTGTGCGTATAGGCTTGTACGCCTAGCGTACTCCTCCTGTTTGACCAACTCTTAATTCTAGCTCTTTGTTCATTAAGCCAAGACGTCCAAAACCTCAGAATAGCTAAATATAAGTGACTTGATCCATAAGGTTGAATGCTTTAAGCCTTTGCATGGCTTAATGAAGCCCAAACACAAAAAATGAATTACAAAGGTCAAAATTACTCCAAATGTCTTAAAAATCTCTTAATACCTGAAGACCTTAGTCCAAACTTCTAGATCTGATTCAAAGGGACTTCTTAAGTCATAAAGTTCCTGACTTTATGACTTAGCATGACTTAATAGGACCCAAATCAAAACCCTAAGTCCAAGTTTCACCAAAAGGCTGCCAAATCATGCATGGAAGGTTTATACTCATCAAGATCCAAAGTTTATGACTCCATAACCCCAACAAAGGCCAAATATGAAGCTCAAAGGTTCTGGAGTAACTTCTACTCACAAGAACCACCACAAAGGGACCAAAATCATAATAAAGTGCCACCTAACTAGATCTACAAGAAAGAATTGTCAAGGTTGAGACTTTATACCTCTAGAAGTTAGATCTAGGTACCCAAAAGCTCCGAAGAGCACCAAAACACACATAAATCAATTTGAAGCTCCTTCAAGAAGTTCCTTCTTCCTCCTTAAGCACCAAAACACACATAAATCAATTTGAAGCTCTAAAAGCACTCAAATGGGGGCTAAGGGTCAATTTCTAGGGTTTAAAGGGATGGAGGTTGAAGATATTAGGGTTAGGTTATGAGATAAGGAGCTTAAATAGGATCCAAGACCCTAAAATAAGGCTTGGGTCTGATTGGAGAACGCCCAACATACATATGGTACACCCAGCATACTCCGAAGAGCATCCACGACCATCCTGGTCAGTACGCCCAATGTATATCGAGGTACACCCCGCGTACTGCTCTCTTCACTAGTACGCCCCGCGTAACCTTTGTGTACGCCCCGTGTACCCTGCTAAACCTTAAAACCACCAAACTTCCGAAGGCCATAACTTCTTCGTTATAAGCCAGTTTCCGACGATCCTTATATCCACGGAAAGGCAACGAGAAGCCCTACACTTCTATCAACTCATACCATCTGTAAGACCTTCCGAAAAAATCAAATTTCTACGAAAACCCAACTCACACTTTACCAAAATACCCCTAGGCTCCAAAACACGAACCGAACACCCGGATCACTTCAAATACATCACTCGCACCCAAATGGGCCTAGTTCTTACCTTTTCAAGGCCCTAATCCTTATGATGACCGATCTTCATGCTACAGCCTCGAATTAAGAATCGATTCAAAACAGGGCATTACATGCACGTTGGTGTTGGTGACACCAAATTAATTTCGTACCAGATGCTTCTTAGCTTCGTGAAATAGGCATAAATGAATGATTATTCTTGCCTTAAATTTCTCAAGGCTCGTTTTAACTCATACGCTTGCAGGTCACATTCTTTTACAAATATATCTTCGAGTTCACTCCAGATTTCTCGTACGGTATTGGCATATTTGACGTTGTTTTAAATATTTTTTTCCATTGTTGTAGTAAGCCACCCTTTTATGATGTCATCACTTTGTTAACATGCCTTGAATTCTAAAGCGGTTTCCAATAGTGTTTCAATGGTTTCGTCGATAAAGATTGTTCGGTTTTTGGCAAAGAGGAATTCTTTCATCTCCCTTGACCAATCAACGTAGAAATTGTCTTGAGACAACCGTTGACGTGCCTTTGTCGAGGGTAGTCATCATTTTGTATGTAGAATGACGAGTTTGGGTCCGATGAAGGGTTGGTGTTTGCGCCGAAGCCACCAATCAGTGTTCCTTCTATCATCGGCGTTTGGCAAGGTTTAAACTTCTTGCGCTAATACGATATAGAAAACAGAGAAAACAAAATTTAAGGGTGCGTTTGGTTGTGGAAAATTGTTTTTATTTTTTTAGAAAATATTTTTCAGAAAATAGATTTGAGTTTTCGTTTTCATATTCATTTTCAGTTTTAATATTCATTTTCAGTTTTCAGAAAATAGAAAATAAATTTTTTTTAAAAAATGTGTTTGGTTGAAACTAGTGTAGTTTTCATTTTCCATTTTACAAATTTAGAAAACTTTAGAAAAATATAAAAATCATTTTGCTAATTTACATTAAGTTTGGAAAACATAAAATTTTAGTTTTCTTTAAATTGAATCAACAAAGCATGTTTTCAAAATATTCATTTTCATTTGAAATTTTCATGAAAAACTGAAAAAAAAAATATTCACAACCAAATCCATCCTAAAGGTTTATAGATATAGGAAAAAGAGAATAACAAAACCTAAGGGTGAGTGTGAGTGTGGTTGTTTAAAATTGTTTTTATTTTTTCACAAAATGTTTTCAAAATTTTAAATTAAGTTTTCGTTTTCTGTTTTCAATGAAAATATTAGAAAACATTTTTGTTGAAACGCATAAAGTTCTTATTCTTCATTTTAGAAATTTTGAAAATTTTAAAAAACTGTAAAAATACTTCTCTAATTTACATCCAATTTGAAAAACAGAAATTTTTTATTTTTAAAAAAAAAAAATTGAAAACCAAATTGTCCAAAGACATTATCAAATTTTCATTTTTATTTGAAAATTGAAAAACTTTGAAAAAATTTCACAACCAAAAAAGACACCCTAAAGGTTTCTGGGTTTTATTATGGCTTGAATTGGGTTTTATTATGGCTTGAATTAAATAAACAGAAACCTAGTGAAGGTATCGATACAAAATTGAAATAGAAGAAAACTATAACATGGTAACCAAACTGGATTAGGAAATGTATAAAAGAAATAAAGTAACAGGCAACTCTAATAATCCTAATAATATGGGATATACATGGACTCAAATTCCTTCAATATTAAGGTTAAAATTTTAGAATTATAATGCGGATAATATCCTACTAATGTAGAAAATACTTAGGTAATTAATCCTATGATTATTTTTAATTATCAGTTTTTTTACAGCAACTCAATACATGTTTTTTAATTTAAAATCAGATATCTTGTCTACGAAAGAATGAAAATCAATATAAATTTGTATCAAACCCAAAAATTTTACCTATTACAAATCTCAAATTTACAATTAATCATGCCAAGAACCTAAAGAAATTAAGCACACATACCCATGTTAAAATAGAATCTTCAACTCATAAATATTTTAATCAATAACAGCTAGATCAAATACCACATTTTGACATGGAACACCTCTATAAAAGGATCTGTATGATAGGTCTCATAGCCATAAAGTGAAAGAACCCAAAAAAGAAAACATGAGGAGAAGCATTTTTGGATTCTTATTTGTTTCCATTTTGATAGTTGGGTGCATGGGTGGGGAGTTGAAGATGAAGTATTATGAGAAACGATGTTCTTCAGTTTCAGTTGAGACTACAGTAAGAGACATTGTATGGAGCAAAGTTGCTGCAAATCCTGCCATGGCTGCCAAGCTTCTAAGGCTTCATTATCATGATTGCTTTGTTAGGGTAACTAGCTAATTCATCTTCATTTTTATCTATAGCAACACTTTTTCATATTATTATAATTCATCAATAGACGAATTATAAACGTTTTCACCCAAAAGATTGTTTTAAAGTTTTGAACCCATGACAACGACCAAAAAATGAAATGGACAGGATAATGGAATAAGCAAAGATAATATAATGAATTATTACAATTTTACAATATACATACGTACAAATTATAGTTTAACTTTATTTTATACATTACTAATTAAAAAAACTGTAGGGATGTGACGGTTCGATTCTGTTGGATCCTGTACAAAATAGTACAACAGAAAAAACAGCAGGACCCAACAGATCTGTTTCTGGTTACGATGTGATTGATGAAATAAAGACGGCTTTGGAATCCGACTGTCCCGGAATTGTTTCTTGTGCCGATATCCTTGCGTTGGCAGCTAGAGACGCGGTTTCCTTCCAAGTAAGTTATATCATTTTCATATGGAACTATGTGTCAAATTAGAGGTTGGATCAAAGATATAGGGGTGTTTGAGAGTGTTTTTTGAACTCTAAAAGTGTTTTTAGATAGAAGTGTTTATTTGCTTATAGTAGTGGTAAAAAGAGTTTTTCAAAGAGTGATTGGATAAGCTTTTATAATGAAAAAACTAATAAGTCAATAAGTTAAAAAAATGTTTGGTTTAAAAAGTGTTTTTTGAAGTTATTTTGGTTGAAAAATCATAAGCAGTTTCAAAAAGTCATGTTTTACATATTAAAAAATGATTTTTGAAGCTTGTGGAAAAACTATTTTGAAAAGTGTTTTTGAGTTTGCCAAACACTTTTGTTTACTTATTAGCTTTTCAAAAAACCAATAAACCGAACACTTTTGTTGTCAAACACTTTTCAAACGCAATCTCAAACACCCCATAGATGACTATTACTCATACTCAAATCTTTATAAAGATAATTGCTTAGTATGTTATAATAATATTTCAAAACATATATATTATTTATTCTATTATGGAATCATTAGTTTTCATTGGTATCTGAAATTACAGTTTCAAAAGGAAATGTGGCCGGTTTTCACCGGAAGAAAAGACGGAGCGGTGTCGTTGGCATCGGAAGTTGGTGTAAATTTACCATCTGCAGGCGCCAATTTTACAACTCTTGTAACCCAATTTGGAAACAAAGGTCTTGACATCCATGATCTTGTAGCACTTTCGGGTATACAACCTTTATATATATACTTGTATGGAATTGTTCACGTGAGAACTCTGTTTTTTTTTTTTTTTTTTTTTTGGAATTTCGGGAGGAAAATTTTAATAAAAAAAATTATAACAATTTATTAGGCAACTAGTTTTCATCACATTTAACATCCAAAAAAAATAAAATTTAAAAACAAAAATCATTCGACTTTAAGAATATTACTATGTGCATAAGTTTCAAATTTTAAGAATATTCTTACAAAAATATTACACATATATAGTATTGATTATGAGTAATATTCTAATTAGAATATCCAACATGATTTTCTTAAGTTTTATATGTTTAAAATGACGAATGCCAATTTTATATTTTTTTATTTTAAAAAATTGAACTTTTTTGTTTCCGAAATGTGACTAGAAAATAGAAATGGTTCTCCCATTCCAAAAATTGTGAATATTATACATAGTATTCATTATGGACAATATTCTAATTAGAATATTGAGCTTAATTTTTTTGTTTTAAAAATTACGCACATCAATTCCGTACATTATTTCATTTGAAAAAAAAAATTGAACCTTTTTTGTTTCTAAAATGTGTGGTTAGAAATGATTCCCCGTTTAAAAAAAAAAATTGATTCTCACATTAACTGGCCGATACTTATATACACTCTACAAAATAGTTAATTCATCTAACAACCCAATTTATTTTAAAAAGGACTTATGGATATTGAGACTATATGTATGCATGTACTTATGATGAATATAGGTCTTTTCTTAAGTTTTTTTTTTTTTTTTGGTGTGACTAAACTTTTTATGTATCTAACTAGGGGCACATACAATTGGTACCTCGCGTTGCGTACTCGTTGCTAGAAGGCTCTACAATTTTACAGGGGTAGGAGACGCTGATCCTTCTCTTAATGTGACCTATGCAAATGAACTAAGGAAAATATGTCCAAACCCTCAAATTCCAACCACAACTCTTGAAATGGATCCTAATAGCTCACTCTCCTTTGATTCTGATTATTATCAAGCTTTAAACCAAAATAAAGGTCTATTCGTGTCCGATGCAGCATTACTCACAAACCCACAATCGGCTCAAATAACACAAGTTTTGCAAAATCCTTCGGTGTTCTTTGCTCGATTTGCTCGGTCAATGGTACAAATGGGGGCTATTGAAGTCCTTACGGATGATCAAGGAGAAGTCAGAACGAATTGTCGAGTTGTTAACAAACAATAATGACAAGTAAAGGGAATTTGGTGTATATTGTGTTGTTTTGCTGTTACTTTTGTGTATTTTTTTTTTTTTTTCTTGTAATATGTAAAAAGGTATCTTTTTCTTGTAATATGTTCAAAGACATAATGAGAAAAATGATATGTAACTAAGCAACACACAAAAATTGTTCTCCATACAACATGCTCTTGGGAATCATTAGTTAAGTTTTTTAACCCAACATCTCAAAAGTCAAGTGTGATCAACAGGACAAACATAAAACAGATTGAAAAGCTCTATAAGAAGCACATGATTTGATGTTTAAAGGCCAAGTGAATGTAGCATAATTGCATTTTGTGCATGCATTCGATTCTCAGCTTGGGGAAAGACAATGGAGTTTGGAGCTTCAATAACTCCATTAGTAACCTCCACACCTCTTTCTGCTGGTAAACAATGCATGAAGTAAGCCTGAGGTCCAGCTATCTTCATCAGTTCTTCGTCCACCTGTCACAAAATTTTATAAAATTTTACATTAAAATAAACTATTTAACCTTTTTTTATCAATAGTTACATTAGAAAAAATCCATTTGACCCTCTTGAAAAGAACCAATTTTTACATAAAAAATAGGAACCTATTTAACTTTTTTTTTTAATTTATTTTCACAGTAATAATAAACCATTTGACCCTCTTGAAAAGAACAAACATTTATCAACTTTTACATTATAAAGAAAGAACCCAATTAAACCTTTTTTTATCAATTTTTACATAAAAGATAACCCGTTTGACCCTCATGAAAAGAATCAACTTTTACATTAAAAAAAAAAATTAAAAACGGTTTTTTATCAGTTTCTACATAAAAAATAATCCATTTGAGTGTTTGACCCTCTTGAAAAGAACAAACTTTATTCAACTTTTACATTAAAAAGAACCCATTTAACTTTTTTTTCACATTAATAATAAACCATTTGACCCTCCTTGAAAAGAACAAACATTTATCAGCTTTTACATTATAAAGAACCCAATTAAACATTTTTTTATCAAAATTTTCATAAAAGAATTAACCCATTTGACTCTCTTGAAAAGAATCAATTTTTACATAAAAAAAAGAAACCCTTAACCAATTTTTTTATCAACTTCTACCCCAAAAAAAAAAAAAAAAAAAAAAAGTTGACCCTCTTGAAAAGAACAAACTTTTAACACTTTTCACATAAAAACAACCTATTCAACATTTTGTTTATCAATAACAAAAAGACCCATTTGACCCTCTTGTATAAGAACAAATTTTTAGGGAAAAAAAAAACCATTAACCTACTTTGACATAACAAAAAAAGAAAAAAGAAAACTTACCTGAAATCCTTGAAAAACCTGTCGACGATATGCAGCTTCTTCCTTTTGGCCCATACTGGCCCAAACATCTGAATACACAACATCAGCCCCTTTAACAGCTTCTTTCGGGTCATTTGTGATCTCAATTTTCCCAACTCCAGCCCGTTGGGCTTTTTCAACAGTCTCTTTATCGGGCTCAAAGCCTTTTGGACACGCACACACAAAATGAAAAGGCACAACAGCAGCCAACAAAAGCCAAGAATGCACAATATTATTCCCATCTCCAACATACACAACCTTAGTCCCCTCAATCTGACCAATATGTTCAATCATTGTAAGAGCATCAGCCATGATTTGACACGGATGATTATAATCTGTCAGCCCATTGATCACAGGGACACTTGCGTAATTTGCCAAGTCCAAAAGATCCTGATGAGCAAAGAGTCGGGCCATGATGATGTCATTGTAGCGGGATAAAACACGGGCCACATCACGGGTTTCTTCACGTTTTCCCATTTCAATGTCTTTTGGGCCTAAATATATTGCATGTCCACCAAGTAGAAAGAAGCCTGTTTCAAAGGAGACACGGGTTCTCATCGAGGGCTTTGCAAAGATCATTGCCATCGTTTTCCCCTTGAAGGGTAGATATGTCCTTTCGCCTGATTTTAGCAATGCTTTCACTTCTTTGGCTCTATCCAAGATTGTTAATATTGTTTCCTTGTCAAAATCGTTGATGTGCAAAAAGTCCTTCAACCCTGTCTTCTCTAATAAAAAAAAATGATAATCAGTGTAACTTTTTTTTCCTAATATGTAATTTAATTTTGTATTTGCCAAAAATAAGCACAGAATGAGTGTACCTTCAACACAAGACAATGCAGATTTGATGTGTAGAACTTTGGGTGGCATTTTGACTGGTCCTTTGACTTTCAGCTTGTCGGTGTGGGCTCCACGAACAAATACTGATGAATGTAATTGAACATATGAAATTAAGAAAACAAAAGAATTCAATGGTTAACTAATGATATATGCACACACACAATGATAAGAAACTTGTTAATTGTTATATTGGAAGTATAAGAAAGAATAGCTATAGAATGTATTCAAATTAAATGAGCATATGCTGATATGATAAAGAAAGAAAAGTGGTGAATTACTGTATAATCTGAGATGTTAGATAAATGAAAGCAGAAGATGACCTTTACTCAGATTTTCCACATTCATGCAAGAGGTAGTGGTTCGAAGCCTGTGAATCTGATCATGTGAACCTTCTAACCCTAGCTTTGTTGGCATCAATGCTGCATACGCCATCTTCTTAGAAGTTCACCTACATAAAAACAATTAGTTTTCCCTTTCATCCACAAAGTCTAATAAGACTATTACAAGCATCAAGAATGTTATAGTATAATGCAACAATGTCCTACACCACTTTGAAAAACACTAGATTACACAGAGCAAAATAGTTGATAAATAATGGCATAACCTTATCAGAGACATCGAACATGCTATTTTTATTTTAGCTCATTCGAAATTACAGGGATTTTGCTCTTTACATTGGAGAATCTGTGAACACTGCGACTAAACCCTAAATATAATAATACGACCAAGATAGAAAAATCAAAACAATTTGCATGTTTCGCTGCTGATAAAACCAAGTAAAAACAGAGATTTATTCCATCTACACTACAAAAAGCGGGAACGATGAAAAGAAAAAAAGACGGATGTGTCAAGTTACCTGTTTTCAAATCAAAAATCAAACCCCTGATTACAATGTGGGAGAAATTTGGAGTGTTTGCTTCAAATGATCGATAATCTGTAGAGAAAGAGAGAGTTAGTATTCCTATTGTATCGAGTATATCACTGTGCGTAGGTGCAGACTGTATGAGAGAGAGAGATTACAGAACCACCTGTCTGAACTTGAAGTGGTGGAAGGAAGGAAGGAAGCAGGAGGGTTTTATTGCCAAAACTCCTGTTAGAAACAAAATTAGAATGATATTAATGGTCCATTAACTATCACTTCATTTTCACTTTATGCCCCTAATGTTTGTATTTGTTATATATGAGTTACTAATAGACTTTTATTGTTATTTTTTTGCCATATGAAAAATAAAATTAGACATATCAAGCAATATTAAAGTGATTGATAACGCCATAAGTCATAAATAACAAGGTTCTAAATGGGGTTTTTTAAGGTGTTATATATATAGACAGATTTTCTATTATTATTCGGTTATATTGAACAACTTAAATACATACACAAAGAGAAAAGAAATCTTATAATTTTAGTTTTATATAAAATATTTTAATTTTTTAGAATTGTTATATCAACAACTAATAACAAGAAGTTAACAGAAATCCAATAGTTTCATATCCGATCAAAAAAAAACCAAAAAAGAAAAAACATCACGCAATGAACCTTCAAAAAAACATGTCTTGAAATAAAATTGCAAAATTATAGTTTTAGACGCCTTCTCACCATTTTGAAATTTTGACTCGTTTACATTACTATAAAAAAATATGACTCTTTTTATATATATGGATTGAAATTATCACCTCAAAGCTTTACTTTCATACTCATGGTTAAAGATTATTTATATTTTTCATTTCATACTCATGGTTAAAAATTGTTTTCATACTCAATTGTTTCTTTATTTTTTGAATGGCTAAAAAGATTTTCTGTATTTTTTTGAAGAGCTAGCTCACACCATTATGACATAATCAACTCTTAAATCTATACGTTTCGTTGAAAACAGGATTTAAACTCTCAACCTCACGAAAATTTATTACACATTGTCATGTACACAATTTTGGTTCATATCAAGAATGTTTTTGCTTTCGTTATTATTCTTTAATCTTTCTTTTCCTTTTAAAAACCATCAATCTCAAGTATTTATGATTTTCACATCTTCCCCAATAGGATAACCATCTAGGGGATAATTCTGTTTAACTATGTAACTATACATATATAAAATTATAGTTACTTTTTGATCTACTTTATCACAAAAATAACCAAATGACTTTTACACATATAAACCGAAAAGGATGAAAGCACCACAATAGTTACATATATTTGAGCTTACATAAAAATTATAAAGCAGCATCCTGTTGCAAAAAAACTTAACTCGTGCAAAGGTAAAATGAAAATAATAATATTTTAGTAACACATAACACATTTAGAATCAGGTTAGAAACCGAAAGGCAGAAGCAGCAGCTGTTTATTTCAACCAAAGATAGTCTTCTGTATCTAAAAACACAAGTTGCAGAAATGTGGAAAATAATTGTAAAACATAATAATCTTTTCTTTATGGAAACAAAAGGGATATATAAAAAGGGAAATTATTTATTACCTAAGAATCAAGATCTGGGAGTTGAGATACTCTTTCTATTTCTTTGATGATAAGTTCCTTTTCCTCTTCAAATTGATCATCATCACCACCTAAAATCACACCCACAAAAAACTAAGAATTTGTTCTAGACTGACTAAATGACCATTTTACCCTTATGTTCGAAAAACAGAAATCTTACGGTATTCATTAATTTTAACCAACTTTAACGTGAGGAAAAAAGAAAAAGACAAGGGTATATATGTCATGATTAAGTGCTTAACCCATTAACCTTTTCCAGCAGATAAATTGTTAAGCAATTCCAGCAATTTTTCATGGTTCTTTGCTAATATGACTTTTATTTCTCGAGGTTTGTTAGGGTTAGCCACAAAGATCTGCAAGAAAAAACATTATAAGCCGACAAAATATTATCAACTCTTTTTAAAAAAAAAAAACACACACACTTTTTCTAAGTGGAATTTAAGCA